GGAGATTTTCCACAAGAAAAGGTTGTTTTCATGTTTGGGATTCAGGAAAGCATCCAACGGAGTGGAAGCAGCATGAAGGAAGAGCCGCTGGGCAGCGGCATGAACGCGGTGCGGACGTGGATGCAGGGCGCCGGGGTGCTGGACGCCAACACGGCGGCGCAGAGGTGGGTACCGCCCGGGCAGCGCGGCCCGCGAGGACAGCCGCCGACCGCCGAGCCGCGAGGCGGGAGCGGCTGCCGCCGCGAGGCCGGGCCGAGCTCGCCGCCCGCCGCTCCACTCCGCCCGCCGGGGCTCGGCGCCGCGCGGCCGCGCTGCCCTGGTCGTCCGCGGCCGGAGAGCCGGGCGCCGCCCGCGGGGAGCCCACGCCCGCCGGCACACTCGCCGGCCCGGTCCGGGACTGTTTTCATTTTGTCTTAAGCCAGAAGAGGCGTCTCGCTAGCGGGATGCTGGATGTCTGTGTTCTTACGTGACGGCTTTCTCTTGCAGCGGGCTGTCTTTTCTTTCCTCCTTTCCTTCTTTTTTTCTCTTTGTTTCTTGCTTTCCTTCTTTTCTTTTTCTTCATTTTCTTTCCTTCTTTCTCTTTCTTTCCTTTCTCTTTCTTTTCTTCTTTTCTTCTTTCTTTCTTTCTTTCTTTCTTTCTTTCTTTCTTTCTTTCTTTCTTTCTTTCTTTCTTTCTTTTTTTCTTTCTTCTTTCTCTCTCTCTTCTTCCTTTCTTTTTCCTCCTTTCTTTCCTTGTTTCCTTCCTTCCTTCCCCCTTGTTACACTTCCCTCCCTCCCTCCCTACCCCCACCCCCTTCCCTTTCCGTCCTTCTTTCCCATTCTTCGTTCCTTCTCTTCTTTCTGCGCCCCCTCCCCCTTCTCTTTCTCCTTTCCTTCCCTCCTTCTCTCTCCACCTTTCCCCAGAATATCTTATTTCTCCTGTCCTGCTCTCTATCTGCTCTCTCAGCTTTTCTCGGTCCACCTGGAGACCAGTGACTCCCGCTCTGACCCTGACATCTACAAGGGTTCCCCCCCTCCTGGCACCACGGGCCCTGCCAGCCTCTCCCCTGATCTCAGTCCCTGTGATGCTGCACGGTGTGGCCTGGAGGCACTGCCACTGGCGATGGACTTGGGGAAACTTTACTGGGCACTCTCAGCGCCCTTGGTGGGGACTCGTGGTCCCAAGTGAGAAATGGCCCTTTTTTTCCCAGGCCACCAGCTGGGCTTGGATAGGTAGGGGATCTGGCGGCCGCAGGCCCTGTCGTGCTCAGAGGGCGGAAGGGGAAGCAGGAGGATGACTAATTACATCATCCTCATCTTCTCCGGGCTGGGGACAAGTGTCCGCAACACCGTTCCCATCCCCGCTGAGTGTAAGGATGGGGGTGGTTGGTAGTGAGAGTGAGTTTGGGTAACTGGGCTGGAAGCGAAAGTGTGTGTGTGTGTGTGTGTGTGTGTGTGTGTGTGTGTGTGTGTGTGTGCGCGCGCGCGCGCCCTGGTCAGGTCTGGCTGTCAGTGGCGCCCCAGCCTCCAGACCCCCGGCGGGCGCGCTCAGCCGGCTGCCCTGGTCCATAGGATTTCTTGAATGAGTGTGAGGATTTCTGCGGAACAGCAAACTTTGTCAGAACACGTCTTTAAAAAACACCCCCCGGTTCCCTTTCCCACAGCGACCACCCCTGACAGCTCAGTTTCACCCTCAGATCCTTTTTCTCCACATGCTGTATCTGGGGAGATACGTGGCTTCCCGAGGCCGGGCACTCGCGCATGAGGTTTGCTGGAGGATGGCGGCTGCAGCGAGAAGCCGAGCAAGCTCCGCATGCGTTCTCACCTGCCCACGCTGCTGAAACGGAAGATTCGAGGGGGTGGAGGGAACCCAGTCCCATGCCCTCCTCCAAGTTGTAAACTACCGGGTCTATTCCGTGAATGCGGGTTCACCTCCTCCACCGCCACTTTCCTCCCTCCCCACGCAGCGCGCGTCGGGTCGGAGTAAATGCTTAGAGCATTTTAGCTCCCGCGCACAATCCAAAATAAACTTTTTAACACCTCGTCGTCGGCGGGGAGGACAGGACACTCGAGAAGACTCCTGTCCTGTCGCCACAGGCGCCCAGGGCGCCCGAGGCGGCGTGTAGGGCGCCCATTGGGCGTTCTGTGGGCAGAGGAGGTGGGTGTCTGAGGGTCCGCGTGTGTGTGAGGGGTGACAAGGGGTCGCGGGTCCGGGTCCGGCCGAGCCGTCTAACTCTGCATCTTTGGCCGCAGCGGGGTGGGTCTGGCCCGGGCTCACTTTGAGAAGCAGCCGCCTTCCAATCTGCGGAAATCCAACTTCTTCCACTTCGTCCTGGCCCTCTACGACAGGCAGGGCCAGCCTGTGGAGATCGAGAGGACGGCCTTTGTGGGGTTCGTCGAGAAGGAAAAGGTAAGTGGGCGCGGCGCCGCCGCCCCTGATTCCCGGCCGGGTTAGCAGGCCGAGGTGCCCCGGAAGGCGCGCTCCTCCGCGAGGGCAAAGCATCCCAACACATCCCTGAGTGGGGTCCCCCAAGCCACCTCCCGTCCTGGCCGAACCCGGGTTCCTCGTCCATTAATTTCTGCTCCAAAAAAGTTCGCGCGGAGCCCCCAGAACTGTCGAGAGGCGAGCCCCGCCTCGAACTCTAGAGTCCAGGGCGCTGGGGATTGAACCCGCCCTTGACCGCGCGACCCCGCGTGGCTCGAGCCTCTGCTGGCCCAGGCCCGGGCCCCTAGACCCCGAGAAGGGGACTGCCCGTTCGCACCGCAGGGTATTTTCTGGAAGGCAAGAGGGATCAGTAAGTGTCGGGGGGAGGGAGGGCAGAGGGATGTCGGCTGGCCGGAGTTTGTGCTGCTCCCGGGCCTGTCCGGCTATGCCGCCCGAGCTCCTAGCTTGGGGAGTTACGCCGCAATCTGTCCACTCTCTCACGCCAAACTCTCTCCTGCATGTCTTGTGTCTTTGCGTCCTGCCGCAACCCAGGAAGCCAACAGCGAAAAGACGAATAACGGAATTCACTACCGGCTCCAGCTCCTGTACAGCAACGGTGAGACTCCCGCCCGGTCCGCTCCAGCCCTCCGGGGCTCCTGGTGAGGGAAGGGGGCGAGGAACGCTCTAGGTGGACGAGAGCCTTTGAGCAAAGCTCAGGTGTCCGCCATCCTTGGGGTAAACTAGCCTCTCGTAAGTTTTGCCGGAGGAGGTTTCACCCTGAGGGCGGCTGTGTCGGGCCCGCGCGTACCTGGGGCCAGGTGTGGAGCCCCGGCCCTGGCCGGGCCACTTTCTTTCTCCCTCTGCATCCTTAGGCCTGTTCCCTCAGCAGAGCCCAGACGCCAGGCCCAAAGTCCCCTGGGCTTAGGGGTCTAGAGCGATCGTGGCCTTGATGGCTCCCTGAGAGAGAGCAGAGGGGCTCCAGCCTTGGGAAGGGGCAGTAGCCACATGGGGGCCCGCCCTCTCAGCTGCCTTGCTTGGGGGCTGGCTTCCAAGAGAGTTCGACTAGGCCAGAGGCCCCTCTCTGGACACTGGGGAGCGGGGGTCCAGGCTGTGCTTCTCCGGGACATTTGGAGTTCCAGATACTTGGAACCCCATTCTTTGTTTGCTTTTGTTTAGCGGCAGATCCTCTCTCACTTAATTTTCCTTCGTTCATCTCCCTATCCCCTTACCCTCCTCCGCTCAGGGATAAGGACCGAGCAGGATTTCTACGTGCGCCTCATTGACTCCATGACAAAACAAGTAAGTTTCTTAACTTCGCGCCGCGGGGGTGACTTTGGGGTAGCGAACTTTGGAGGAGTCCTGAAGCTGACTACTCCATAGCGAGAGGGTCGGGACTCGAACTCACAACGTCAGGGGGGACCGCAGACTGCGTTCCCAGCACTGCTTTCCAAATGCCCACACATGCACTTGCGCCTGCCGCGTGGGGAAGATGGCTCGACGGCTCCTTCCTTCCAAGGGAAACTCAGGCCTGGCAAATTAAGACTACAGGGTGCTGAGTGGGGGAAAAAAAGGCTGAACTTCCTTTGACCTGGCCAGGGACCCCCCAGGGGAGCAAAGGGTGCCCAGGGACTCTGGTGCAGTGTGGGCTGAACTTGTGAAAACCAAAAACCATCTCTGCCTTTCCCGGGAGGTAAAAGGTAGAGAGAGTGGGTGGGAGGCAAAGGCAGCTTCCCTAGGATAGTGAGATGGACTGAGAACGTAGATGATCCACTCCGCAGATTTTTTTTTAAGAGGTGGTAATGGTGGTAGTGTTGGGAGAGGGAGCTACAATTGTTGGAGAATATTTTGCAAAAGTCCTCCTGCATTTGCCTTCAAGTTTGGCCAAAAGCCAGGCAGCATGAGTGAGCTTGTGGTCTTAAAGGTACATGGACTGCATTTTCTTAAACTTCCCAACACGCAGTGTCAAGCAGTATACATTAAGGTTGAGTTATGGTTTAAAAGATACAATTATGAGCCGAGTCAGAAAAGAGGACTGACGTTTTAATGAGGCACAGAAGCTTTTTTTTTTTTAATTTTAAGGAAAAGTTTAGTTTCGGAATTAAGTAGCTGGTTAGGTAGTCGGATGACTTAGTAACAAAAAGGGAGACAGCTTTATTAGGTGGGGGAAAGAAATCAAAACAGAGAGAAAAGTTATCCAGTTTGTACCAACCACCAATTTAATAAGAGGATTAAAACTTATTTGCTTGATTTTGATATTAAAATATTCCCTTTAAAATAAGGAAGGTGTTCTTCTTCCATAGAAACTGACTTGAAAATTTACAAATTAGGGTATAAATGTGTATTTGTTTTTAGATATGTCATGGTTAAAATGTTATACAAAATGCACACCAATAAGCTGTTGAGAATTAAAAAATCTACTCAGCAAAAACCAATTTAATAATAGCTCATTTTGCTTATTACTCTCATATTTCATTGTGAACCAAGTAGAAAACATGGTTATGAAATGTAGTTTCTAAGATAGTAAATAAATATCTTTTGAAATCTATATCAAGTTATTTGCCTAAAACATTTGACTTTCTTGAAGATCTGTTTAATTCTTACTTAATTATTTAGAGTAAATCACATTTATACCATAAGTCTTGGTCTTATTTTTTTATTGGTTTTTATTATTACATAGGATAATTCCCTTTCATCTGGACACATTGTATTTCTTTAAAACATTTTTTTTCCTGCCAAGCAGAAACACAAAAGCCTGATTTCAGAACCTTTTTTTTAAAATAGCAAAACAGAAATGTCTTAAGTGGAGTTTTGTTTAAAATAATTGTCTTTGAAACCCTGGCTATCCTTTCCTGCCATTCTCATCAGAGGAAGAAAATATGGGAAGGAGAGGAGGAAAGTATGAACTCTAATACATATTCCATATGTATCTATTAGAATTTATTTTTTAAAAGATAAAAATTCATATAAACTAGTATATAAGGTCTGTCTGCTTGTGCAACATTGGCCACTTAGATATTAAATTATAGGCAGCACTATGAAATGAATAATTGGAAGGAGAACAAAATTAGGACATGTTTGAAATGATTAACTTTTCTCAAAACTTTATTTTAAATCCCTCAAACAAAAAGTGTCACCAAGAATTGATTTTCCCATTATGATAAGAACTGACTTTACACATCTCACATGGTGGGAGAATAATCTTGATTTTTATAAAGCAGTATATCAAATATCATTTTACTAACAAGGTCATAGGGCTTAAGAAAAACTGCAGCTTAAAGCATTCTTTGACCTTTTGGCATCATAAATTCTATCAGATATAGGGGAGGAAACTAGAATAAGGTACAGTTTATTTTTAATAATAGCAGATATAAGAAAGGCATTTGCCATAATGCGACTGAAAGTCAAAAATTGAAAATGTATGCAATTGTACATTTCGGTGGGGAGTTACCTGAAAAAGGTTTAAATAATAATCTGAATTTAGTCTAAAAATATTGAGAAAAAGGGATTTTTTGGAGGCATACCTGTTTACTTTCATAATAATTGTCTAATGCCTTCTGTGTACCTTTCACTTTGAAAGGCAAGCCTAACTATTATCTGCTTGCTTGTTTGTTGATTATGTGCTCTAAGAGTTTGGTAAGTAGGTTAGCTTCTTGTGTACACTAACACAATAGACTTCAAAAACAGATCATTGTGAAGAAGCATTACTTTCCTTAGCTGTGACATGTTACTACATTTTAGCTTTGATGAGTGAAACAGTGAATTCTCACCTAGCCTGAAATTATTCTATGATAATTAAATACCAACTCTGATTTAAAATTTCTTAAACTTTTTATTTTAGTTAAATATGCAATGACCCCTTCAATCAGAAGTAAGGCTTGATATAAGCCGAATGAGTAAATGGTTGTATTTTTTTCCCCTGTGAAATCTTTCCAGATAGAGTCAGAATTTTGATATTTAGAGTGCAGAATGGAATAATTGCAGTGATGTGATGAGTTTTAATAACATCATAAATTTTGGAGGCAATACCTAGCTACAGTTCAAGTGTCTTCTCTTAGCTGCTTATCATAACGTTTTTCGTATCAGAGATGCAGCTTTATGTGTGTGATGTCATATCTTTGACTTACAAATTGGGATTAAAACTCAAAGGGAGTCTTTGGCAAACAAAACCTAAAACTAGCTGTGCACTCTGTATTTTCATAGAATGTTCCTGATCTTGGGTGGAGTTAGCAGCATTGAGATCAAACAGAAATGTACTCAATCAACCAAGATGTATTGGTATGACACAGTATTTCACACCTTTTCAAAGTGTCTCATTACACTATTTTGGGTAGTTATTAACTCTTAATTTTGGACTCCACCAAGTGCATAAGGATCTGAGCCCCTTTATCCCTTTGCCTCTGTTATAAAACACAAAGGATATAATAATATTTTAAAAATTCATCCACCAACTAGAAAATAAGAGGCTTGCTTTTGGGAAGGTTTGTTCAAAACCAAGTTTAGCAGGACTAAAAATAGGTTGTTTTTGTGTCATTGCTGTTTTTGGTATTCCATTAGTGAGCATGTTATAGGCCTCTAGGATCCAGAAGTTTATAGCTGTTGCATCCAGAAACAGTATCTACTGCAGAAGCTCAAAGTAACCCAGTGGTGGAGGTCTGAGGTTTAACGTGCCTTTCAGATTTTCATGTAGTATTTGAAATATGATTATGTTCTATGATTGCTTCAGTGAGTTATCTTTAAATAGTTAAAAAGAAATGCCTTTAACTTATTTTCCATCCTACCATCTTGCTTTAAAAAAAGTGGCATTTTTATAATTCAAAGACAGAATACCAACAAATTCCATAAAGTTAGCCAAAAAACAGAACATTCCCTGCCTCCAAACAAAAGCTTTTTTTGGAAAGGGGAAAACAATAGCTGCATAATCCTAGTTATGTATGGATTTGAAGGTAGTTGATAGGGCAAAGGGGACCCTAAAAAATTCCCTACACAGTGGGGAGTCCAAGGTGTAATAATCAGAAATGTTGCCATAGTTCTCTTCCGAGCTAATCTTCTTTACATTTGTTTTGATGTGCCGGGTACTTTAAGTTATTGATGCAAGAGCATTTTTCCTATTGATTGTTTCATTATATCCTGCCACTGCTACATAGATTTGATTAACAACCCTTTCAGGTCATGGTTCGTCATTGGTACATAAACACATTTTTAGTATATCAAAAAGTTCCAAAGGAATTCACTAGGCCAGCAGAGGGGTTCTTTCATATATTTGGGGAAACAAAAAAGGACAGGGCAGTTTTATAGTTAGGAGCCATATTTCAGCAGCTTTCCCTCTCCTTTGGTAACATGTCAAAAATGCAGGTGATTTAAATTTCCTTGCACATAGAGGAATGAAGAAGTTTGGAATTTTTATGCATGATCAGGACCTGTGTTTGGGAAAATGTAAACTCATCACAGTGGAAAATGTGTTGTTTGGAGTCTGGGGGTGAAAACAAAGCTGATGGTTTTGGAGAGATTGCTGGAGCCAGATGGCCTAGTACTTCCCCAGTCTGGCGGTCCAACTGCTCCCTCCTGGATAATATACAGCCATTTGTTCGGGGATATTTACGCTAGAGCTGTTTCCATGTGAATGTTTGAACAGCATTAAAAATGAACATATTAGTAGTGATGCATTTATCGAACTTGTATGACTAAACCGATACTCTGTTATTACGACTTATGTGGCTGAGAGAAATGAAGGAGTGTTTGGATGTTTTTGAACTGTTTATATTGATGTTGAGCAAGAATGATTTGGTCTTAGTAATTAAAATATGTAAGCATTTGGAATCAAACTAATGGAAATAATGGTATCACCTACTCGAAGCTCTGTCGTGAAATTAAATGAATTCAAACATGTAAAGTGCTTAGGAGAGTGAGTGGCACATATTAAGTGCATAATAATTTAGCTGTTTATTTTATTTTATTATTAGTAGTAGTGTCCCATTGGGTGGAGAAAGCCAGTTGTATCTACGAATATAGATGTTGATGTAGTTATCATGTGGGTGAAATATCTTTTATTATTGTGAAAAAGAAATATAATGTACGATTGCTATAACGATTCAGTTTCTGTCTTGGCATCTGAGTAATATAAGGGATTTTATTTCTTTGAGACATAAAAGATGCATTCTAAAGCTAACTGCTTTTTGTACACATTCTCTTCTTATTCAGGGCTGTGATGTAACTGAACAGTATACTGAATATGATAGCATTCATTTGTAACTTTTCTAATTCAGTTCTGAAAATGGTCCTGCTTAGCTCCTGAGCTGAAA